CGACGTTGTAAAACAAGCCATTTCACTTCGTGAACTCGGCAACCAGGTTACCGTTTTTTTCTTTTACCTCGTTTTTTTTTTTGGCGGTAACCATAATGGTGGTCGAGTAGATCATGTTGTGCGGGGTGGAGAACCCTCACTCCGCGCAACGGGGGATGATCGCACCACGTTGTGTTAAAATGGTCAAGCTTCCTCGAGGCAGTTACACAGTGCTTACAACTGTCTCTGGAAGTGAAAACACCAGAAAATAAATTAAGTCATACGTAGCTGTCATCCGTACGCAAGGAAGTAAGCACAAGATGCCGAACACCCTTCGCAGGATGGCAGCTCACCCTTCATGCGACTCGCCAAATACCTCACGGCGCTTCGCGCTTGGTGATGTGAGAGCCTGGTCCGGTGAGAACCCGGCGTGCTCCGTCCCGGCTTTGTAGGGATGCGAGGTCAATGGTCAAACGACTACGGCATGCACGACTATGAGTACACCCCCCCCCCGATGGTTTGCTTTGCATATTTTGGTGGTCCAACGTTCCCCCCGTGCTTCTATTGCATGCCACTGCCAACGTGTTCCATCTTGGTACTTTCTTAAGCATTTTTTCTTCATGCAATTGGCCTTGACGTACAAGTAGGATTGTTTTCCTCGCCCCACCCCGATCGCAAGCACGTTGTATCGTGACATGCGAACGTTGTTTTTGGCGTTGGTTCCTGTCCTTTTCTTTGGCCGTTGTTTACGTTACCCGAAAACCCCCTTTTGCCATGCTTTTCTCGATTTAGGTCGACCCTTAACGGTTTTCCGTGCCGTTTGATCATTTGCGGGCTCGGTTTTCGTTTCTTATTCTTTATGTTGACGTTTCAGCACTCGATCGCATCGTAGCCCCCCTTCCCGTAAGGTTTTGGCTTACTTGATTGCGTATTCGATCGGTTCATTCGTACGAGGTCGTTTGTGATTTTCTCTTCACGATTTCGTTACTTCGTGTTATGGTCGTTTCGGTTCGGATGTTTTGGTTATTTTTCGCACCCATGTGCCTTTTTCCGATTTTATCCGCCGACTTTGCCGCCCCGGCTTCTTTGCTTTCTTCTTTCTTGGTTCCGCTTCTTTGGTTTGGCTAACGGAGAGGTGCGGGTGAGGGTTTTGAGTTGTCGTATCTTCGATCCATCCCGCAATCCTCTTGATTGACTAGAGTCCCTCCGAGGTTTGCTTCTGTATCTGCATCTACGTCCACTCAGGGTGGGCTATTGTTATTATGGTATTTGGAGGTAGACATGTGATCGTGGTTGATCATGGTTATTTGGCGCCGTCGGATGCTAAGACGTGACGTCATGCTAGATCAGGGCTTTATGCCGAGGCATGTGCCCTTCTATTCAGTGTGTGCGTACAGGCGATCTATGATCGTGTGTGCGTGGGATATTGTGAGTTGGCTTTGAAAGCGTTAATCAAGAGAAAGAGAACAACGGAAAGCAACAACAACCTGCTACATACTGTGGTCGGACAAGAGAGTTCCACACAGCTCAAAGGTGATTGATTCTGAAGGAAGGGGTCAAATACCATTACAACCGATGACAACACCTAGCAACAAGACCTATAAGTTCGCGAATTCACCAAGCGTGTGATGGACTCTGGCACCGGGCTCCTTTTGGGAAGCACGTGTGTGATCAGAGTGTCGTTGTCGCTCTCATCCAGAAGCTGCGCCATCTCGACCTGATAAGCGAAGGTATTCGCACCACAAAACGAAGAAATGATGACAAACGTGTGTGTTCGAGTGGTTGTCCTCGCCGATATAAGGTGGTTGATCTTTATCCACGCCCCCCCTCGCTCACTCACAATAATACACCCAAACAAACCGAACCGACGCTAGATTTCTGTATGTTGTTTGCGAGTTGAAAGTTCTGCCGCTACGATTGTTTGATCCTTTTCCGCCTAACGCTATGCCATGCTGACGTTCCGCCAGCTCACAATCTATGGCTGTCGATCTGAAACCAGCTATACTCCGGTCACGGCTAGGGCCAGGGGCACTTGTTTAGTTAGTCGAAAGCCAACGGAGAGAGGGGTACTTCAGCTGCCTCATGTATGATGGCCACAGGCTGCCTCGGGTAGACTCCGCTCTAGAAAGGCACACAACTTAACTCACTGCGAGAACCAACGCCAACATCAACACCAACACCAATACCCCAACAGCAACGATATCTTCAAAAACAAAGACCAGGACTCACGTGAGTACCGCACGACTTGAACGGCACGTCGTGCGCGAAGAGCTCTGCCACTACCAACCCCGCCGCCCAAACGTCGCCCTTCTCACGCGGCGCGTTCTCCGGTGGCATGTAACTGCCCCAGAATACCAGTTAAACATTCGTTGAGATCGAGTGAGGTCGCTCACGTGGAAAACAAGTTGTGTTCGCCCTGGCGTCTTAAACGAGGTATCTGTCTAGTGGCCAAAAGCCGGTGCCGTTTTAAACACGAGCAAAGAAGCAGTATTGTACGTCACAGATAGCAGCGTCTCAAGGTAGATGCCCTTAGACTGTTCTGTACCGGAACAAACAAGTCAGTGTGTGTCTGTTAGCCTGGTCGTTCATCTGTGATTAGTTTGGTTCGAATTTCCAGACACCAAAGTTCGGAAGCTTGAAAGCGCCATTTACAGTTCATGGGCGCGGTAACAGTGAGGCGTTGGAGGCGGGCGGGGAGCGGGGTACGGGAAAAACGGATCTTGACTTTGTGAGTCACCCAGAGTTCCACTTTTTCTTGCTCCAAATTGGAAGCCTACCAACGAAGTACGTGCACGCACGGTACACAGTATTAACAAGACGCCAGTCTGTACTGATGCGAACTTATGGCTATTAGTCTACGCTTTTGCTTGTCGTTTTTTCCTCACCGAAACGTGCCCATGACATCGTTGGTCTTCTCTGCGAGCGGCAAGGCGGTGCCGAAGTCCGCTAGCTTCACTGAGCCGCACGTGTTCGCGAGGATGTTCGACGGTTTCACGTCGCGGTGTACGATGCCCATCGAGTGCAGATACCTATGTAGTGCCAGAGAAGACGAAGGATGGGACAGCATGACAGGAAACGTATAGTGCTGTCACCTGGGGCCGCGTACGGTTTGTCTTGCGAACGGGTGATCCTTTGAATCGGGCGTAATTTGGTGGGAGGGTAGTCTCTCGGGGTCCCCAAAAGGCGTCGAAACCTTCGCATGGTCAAGGCCTTTGGTTCACTTCCTGCCGCGACTGTACTGTGAGATGTTGCGTGGGGATGCAAATTTCGGTGTATGACCAGGAAAAATCGACTCCTGAACACCTCCTCGACAAGGGTGAAAGCTTGGACCTCGCTGTATTTCTCACCCTTTGTGACGTCGGATCTTAGCTCCCCAATAGAGGGAGGTCAGTCCGAAGGAGCGGCGGCATATAAATGACAACATCGTTGAAAGGTATAGTGCTAGTGTCGTCGACGAGCTTCCACCCCAAGCGGGTGCCAAATTCGTTATTTTCGTGTCTGACCAGCCCCCCCCCTCCCTCATGTTAGAGGCTCAACGCCTAGGTATACACAGCTCTACCACGTCCTTTCTTTCCACAAGGCTTTGTCCCGTTTTGTATGTGTTAGAATGCGGCCGCAGAAGGAAAGGCGGCGGTGAGTGCCAACGGGAAACATGGCCTTCACGGTTCGTCTCCTGGGAAGGGGGGGCGCCGAGGGTTTCGATCGCAAAGGCTGAGAGGTACCCTTGTTCCACTTGACTGAGCTTCTGCTGTAGGTCTAGCACTGTAGCAGCGCAGCAGTACAAACTGGGACAGAGAGCATGAGTACTGGGGAGCTGTTCATACTAGCCCGGCGTGGCAACGACGCACCAGACCCAACCAAGCCTTCGATCCGTTTGCGTGGAAGAAAAACGGAGAGGTGAAATTATTTTTCCGGCTGGTGCAAGAGGAGGGAAGTCGACGAGGAAGCGTGGTATCCGTTTATGATACTGAATGCACCAAGCGGTCTTTATTCTAACCGATAACCGATAAGGATTGGCATCCCTGGGACTGCAGTTCTAGACACACGGGTATCTCCCAGGCATTTCCTTGCTAAAATGCGCACGCGGCACTTGTTTTTTCCCTCCTTCGTGTGAGGAGAGCAACGCCAGGAAGCAGGAGCTCGGGCTCGGTGCTACCATGTAGCTGGCACGTTCTTATTTGCGGTTTCCAATATCCTGACCTCCAAACCTTCAGGCACACTCTAACGCCCGAACGTTCCAACGCTGTTCTTCCGACGTACTCACTCGAGGCCCCAAAATATTTGAAAATCGATGGCAAGAATCGCCCGTTCATCTCGGTGGTTATGCAGTGGGCCGCCCGCCCTGTCACTCCCAGCCCTCCAGCGGAGAACCCCCGGCGGGCAAGAGAAACACGAGCTCTGCGTGACGTAGATCATGTCAAATAGAGACCCCAGCCACATTGCCTCTAGCACTAGGTTGACGTAGTTCTGATCATCCCACGCCTGCGGAGATAGAGCGAAGAAGACATGATGGCGGTTGGGATGGGTGGGGCTTGGTCTTTGCGCTTGGCTTCCTCAGCAGCGTGCCGCCGGCAACAATAATGAATGCGCGCTCCCGCTTTGCTGTCTCTCGCCCACAGTGTACCATGGGGAAGGGTTCCACGACTTTGCCCTCAAAAACTACTACAGCAGTGCGAACAGAGAGGCTTTCAGGAACAGCTTTTGAGCAACCATAAAACAGAAATTACCTGCCCAAGTATCTAGGAGAAGATACGTTCCAAATCGGCGACTATGAAAACGCCGTTCAGACTCCGGTTGGCGACGAAACGGCACGGAAGGCTTGCTGGTTCGAAAGGACGAAATGAAATGTCTGTGGCCTGGAAAAGCTCTGCCTGCCTGATGCCACTAGTTCCGGAAACTCACCCCGTAGAACTTGATGATGCAAGGACAGTCCACAGAAAGCAGCACCCGCAGTTCCGCGGAAAGCAGCTTGCCGTGCTCGCGATTAAGCGTGTTGAACACCTTCGTGGCGTACATCTCTGGCTTTCCCGCCCTCTCGATCCATCGCACAAGGGAACTCCCTCCTTTCATGTGCAGTTGTTTTCCCAAAAATAAAGCGCAATTGTTAGTTGGGGTGTGGGGGTCGTGGGGAGAAGGGGTAGAGAGAGGACGGCAGTGGTTGGAGGGAAGAGGGGGGCATGTCGAGCCTCATTCAGATTGCTTTTTTGTTTGCAAACTCGTGCCATCTTCAAGCGTTCATAGTTTTGATGTCTCTACGCACGCACGTTTATATCCAATCTATAAATAAATGCCACACAGCAGGATACCACACAATCAAGTCGTTTGCTTGGGTGTGGCCAGGGGTTTGGTTGGAACGTTGGACAGAAATAACGGACATATACATACGCCGCACTCGCGAGCGATTCGCTCGACGACACCAACAACCAAACAGCGTGTGGTCTTTCTTCTGAAAGCAAAGATACCTGACGCATGATATAAATGATCTGTAGAGCCGTTGTAAGGTTCCTATGTATCTACTGCTGGATCCTATGCCCTATTCTACATATGTACCATTTCCGCCTTTTCAGCCTCTATCTTTACCCAGTAGATTATGGCTGTCATCTTCTCCTGGAACAGTCCATGCCTCAAACGTTGCTCTGTAACTTTTTCTATTGTTCCCAGCTCAGTCATCATGTACACTTCTCTCTCCCTTTCGTAAAACACATAAGAGCCCGGTCTTCGCACTCGTCATCTTCGTCCCCTTCCTAAATCTTCGTCTACGTGGAAAATGTCCTCAGTCTTACCGCAGCAGTAGACTTGAGTTATGATGGGGGAGGGTGTCACACCATCTTTCAGCAGGTCTATGTAATTCTTTTGATGATTCCGGTTGATCAAAACGGTAAAAGTGCAGCCTGGTTCACCTATC